TCCCCAGCGACGTCCTTCGCCTACACCCCAGCGAGTTCGCGAGGATGGTGCAGCCCCTCTACTTGAAGTCCCTTCTTCAAGGAAGACAACCTCTACAATGGCGAGGAGGCATCTTGTACGAGGCCTACAAGGGTGCTGGCGAGCAGCATGCAGTTGACAGCCACCGAAGCTTATATATTTCAAGCTTCCTGGGCAAAACACTGCACAAGGTGATGCGCACCAAAGTCAAACAACAACTCGATGACTTTCTCCACCCCCTCCATTGTGGCAGCCGCCAGGGGATGCCAGTCCTGTTTCCCTCGTTGTTCATTGTTGAACACCTGCGGCGCTGTTCCCAGAGACGCCTCAGCGCCGCGGTGCTCTTTGTTGATACAAGGGCTGCATACTACAGGCTGGTCAGACAACTAGCTGTGGGAGATTTGAGAGTGGACAGAACCGTTGAGGAGCTGTTCCACCGTTTCGGCCTGGACGGCTCAGATGTTGCTGACCTCCGCGATTTGATACTTGAAGGAGGGATGCTGAAAATGGCTGGGGTCCCGGAGCCGATCCGGGCTGCTGTGGACGACTTCCATCGGGACTCTTGGTTCACATCGCGGTATACGGATGCCACGGCTGTTTGCCGATCAACTGCTGGCTCACGGCCGGGGGCTTCATGGGCGGACACCGTGTTTGCGGTGATCTACGCGCGCATCCTCTACCGGGTCCATGAGTACATGGAGGGTGAGAACATAAACTTTTCGCTGCCTTGGGATCCGGAGCAGGGCTTGTTTGCCACAGAGCCGGACGACAATTGGCAGGAAGCCTTCGACACCACCTGGGCAGATGACAGTGCCTATGCCCTCCAGGCCGAAGACCCTGAGGAGTTGCTGAGGCGCACAAGTCGGGTCGGGTCTTTGGTTATATCGGCCTTCAGATCGCACGGCCTCGACCCGAACCTCAAGCGGCACAAGACGAGCGCCATGATCCGAGTAAGGGGCTCCGGAGCGAGGAAGGCAAGGCGGGCTTACTTCGAATCTGGCCGTCCGGAGCTAGATCTACGTGATCTGGGCGAGTCGATACAAGTGGTCCCGACCTACAAACATTTGGGTTGCATGGTTGACATGGAGGCAGGGCTGGGTGCCGAAGCCCGCTACAGAACGGCCTTGGCTACAGCAGCATATGAGAAAGCCAAAAGCCTCCTCTTCCAAAACCGGGACCTCACCCTGGCGACGAGATCGGCACTGTTCCAATCGGCTGTGGTGGCAACGTACCACAACCTTGCTGTTTGGATTGCGACGGGAAAGCACTGGGAGCGCATGAGTGATGCTTTCTCCAGGCTGGTCCGCCGCCTGCTATGCCGGGACATCCCAGGGCCCGACATTTTCAAGGTCCCTTTACCTTTGGCTCATTGGGCCACGGGCTGCTGGCCCCTCGCCAGCTTTGCCAGGCGGAGCCGCATCTCGGCCCTTGTTTCGTTGGCGAAGAAGGGACCGCCCATCTTGTGGGCCATGCTTCAAAATGAAGAAAAGTGGTGCGAACAAGCCCGGGAGGACCTTCAATGGCTGGTGGCCACTACGAAGGGAGAGTGGCCTGAAGTCAGCAGTGCGGCATGGCCGCAATGGTGGCATCTGCTGAGGACAAGCCCGCAAATTGTCAAACAACGGGCAAAACGGGCCAATGAGCTTGACTTCGACACCTACAAGGCGAGAGCAGCAGTCGATGTCTGCAAGTGGCACCTCTACAAGACGCTCCCCGTGGATGTAGAGTCGGCGACGACTACGGCAAGCTGGATCTGCGGAATCTGCGACAAAAGCTTCAAAAAGAAGTCGGCTCTGAGTGTGCACTTCTTTAGTGTACATGGTCGAAAGGCGGAGTACAGATTCTTCCTACAAGGGACGTGCTGTCGAGGCTGCCACAAGGACTTCAGGACACGCGGGCGCTTGGAGGACCACCTACGGGCGACGCCCAAATGTGTCCGAACCATGAAGAGATGCCACAGACCCTTGGATGTGGCACCACCGGGGTATGGAAGCCGTGGCCGAAGAAAGCATGAAGCGGACAACTACACGCCGGCCCCACCTACAAAGAGCGACACCGTAGTGGACGACGTTGCTGATGGAGTGTGGAACCACTGGCAACATCTTCTACACGCGGGTTTGTGTGACGCTCTACTAGAAAACCTCGCACAGGCGACGATCGACGAGACCATCAAGGACCAGGTCCGGAAACACCCGCTCTATTTTGATGAGATCCAGGCGGTCCTGTATTACCTGAAGGATGAGATCGAGCTGATCCATGCCGACCGGGACATTGAGCAGTGGACGGATTCTCAATTTGCCGAGATCTGCGACAGCCTGGCCCGGATTTGTGCAGATGGCCTCCACGGAACTTCGCGGACTCAGCGAGAGTCCCAATGCCTCCTTGGGATGGCTACGTTCCAGAAAGTGCTTTTGAATTTCGATTGGCACAAGGCCTGCAAACAAATGAGGGCGGACAACGGGACCCACGAGTCATCTACGTACAGACTTCCGACCTGCTGGGAAACTGCGTGGCAGAGGAAGTGTAAAGATGAGCTCAGCGCAGTCGTGGTCAAGGACCCTCTACTTCTGCTTCCGACGGAGCTAAGGAGGCTATGGCTGGACCTTCAACAGGGAGGATGGCCTAAACTTTTAGCCCCTGAGAGCTTCTGGAAGCACTCCCTGGCGGAACCTTTCACGCCTTTCCGGGAGGTTTTTGCAAGCCCTAATTAAGCAGCGGACACCACTGAAAGCACCCAAATGCAAAAATATATATACATGTAACTTATGCATATATATGTATATCCTCTTTTTTGAGCCTGCTGCCGATCTCGTTGCCCTAAAATGTGCCAAGCAACTTCACTAGTGGGTGCATCGTGTTGCAACCAACGACAAAGGACGGAGACTGGCGGCTTGTTGTTTGCAAGCAAGTGACGTAAACGCACCACAAACGAGTGAAGTACCTGGCGAATTGCACGTGTGGGACACTAACTAAAACAAGCTCAGGGTGGGGCTCGATGCCATGATGACAACCATCCCAAAGCGCAAAGTGCGTAGCTGATTGCCGGTCATGCCCTGTAATCCGAGAGGGATAAAACCCATGCACAAATGAAAAATGGGAGCAGACACGGCCGGGCGCCAACTTGTGCTTACTCAGGCTGGCAGTTTGATGCCAGACTTCTGAAATTTGTCAGATACCTGGTGAGCGGAGATCCTGTAATGAAGTCACAGAGGTGAGAGTAGCGCGAATAGCAATCGCACCAGGAGCATTCGGAGTGGAAGCTAGAGGCAGAAGTAGCAGCGGCAGTGTCGGAAGTAAGCAGTGGTGGTGGTAGTGGTGGTGGTGGTGGTGGTGGTGGTGGTGGTCTTGGTGGTGGTGGTGGTCTTGGTGGCGGCGGTGTGGTGGAGTTTGGGAGCAGCAGCAGCGGCAGTAGCAGTAGCAGTGGCAGCAGCAGGAGCAGGCAGGAGCAGGAGCAGGAGCAAGAGCCGGAGCAGGAGCAGGAGCAGGAGTAGTCGTAGCAGCAGCAGCAGCAACACCGCTGCTTCTGCCGCTGCCGCTGCTGCTGCTGCTGCTGCGGCGGTGGCTGCTGCGGTGACGTCGTGTATTTTTTGTTGGTGTTGTTGCTGTTGTTGAAATTGCAGTTGTGGTGTCTTTGTCTTGTTGCTTCACTTTTCGTGCCTTTGTCCATTGTGTCCTTCGTTCTCAGTCTTATAGGCATAGTCGTTTTACCGTCGAAAGAACAGCAATACTGTTGGAAAAGATCGGGACGGCATCAGGAGTCAGCTTTGCCAGTCACGAACACCTGCTCTCTAACAGCGAAACACAATGCTGATTAGTACTTGTCGCAACCAGCTGTGCAAATACTCTCGATTAAGGGTTTTGGGTTACGGGTTTAGGGTTGAGGGTTTAGGCTCCGTGATGCTCTTCGCCTCGGGCTCCAAAGAACCACCAAGCGCTTGGAAAGCCTTGGATGTCGGTACCAAAGCTTGCTAGAACAATCGGAAGTATGTGCCGGACACAGATGCCAAGAAGCTTCAGAAAGCCAGCCAGTCCCATGATACCTTTCTGCTTCCTGAGAGCATCGGACGTGTCAGCTACTTGTTGCTTAAACTCACACAACATGCATCACTTGGACCCAACAAATCCTATCCATCAGGGATTCGTATTCGATTGCAAGGATTTCAACAAGGGAGATGGTGAGGCGCTCTCTTGGCAGGTCGAGCTGAACATCTACCCCTGCGACTCAGCTTTGGATGCAGCTGAGAGTCAATGTCTGATCATTCTGCTCAATGCAAAGCCTGTGGCAATTGCGCGGGCTGCGATTCGTAAAACGATAGTTCCATCAAGCTTGGCAGGCTTCGCATAGCAGTTACAGTAGTTTAGGAGTCTTTCTCTGATGCACATCGGTGCCACGCAATGATGCACTGCTGGCCTGTCCATGAAGACTTTCCGGCTTCGTCGGCAAACCTCGATTGCAAGTTTGGGAGTGCTAAATTATCGTCACAAAAGCAAGCGCTGTAGGGTTCAACATCACTGCTCGGCACTTGCATGTGAAGCGTACCAGTATCAACACTAGAAAGGAAACACTAGAAAAGGAACAGGTGCCGCTGTCATTCAGGGACTTGGGGACACATTCATGAGCTCCGGTGTTTCACTCTTTTCGGTTTCGTGGCTTGGGGGCTTTTCGCCGTGTGTTCATGGCCAACGCGTGTTCGATTGTTCTGGTTTTAAGGGCAAGTGTTCGTCAGACTGCTAGATTTCACTGCATTGGATCCAGCGTCGGGATGTTTGAAACGTCGCTCGCCATCCTTATGCGGTTCAGTCTACATCAGGTTTTCTCGAGCAGCAAACTTCGCCAATAGGTTCCTCAAGGAAGGATCACCTTGCCTTCCGTTCTCGAGGCAAGTGGCCGGCCTGAACTTAACAAACCTGTACACTGTACAAGTAAACTTTCGGGCCTACAAACTCCTCAGATTCAGGCACCCAAGCAGAGCTTCAACACCTCACGAATGCTCTCTGCTTGTCGTCCTTCTCCGAGCAGGCACACTTGTGAAGCATTTCCGTGTGAAGCTGGCAGCAACACGAGCACCTATATGCAGCCATGAAGCCACATGCTGCAGACGCTGCCAGAAGCACAACGTCAGCACGTACGAACCTTTTGCTGGCAGCTCTGGCAAACCGTGCAAAGCAGTGAAACATGCAGAGATGCGCAAAGAAGCTCGCTGCGACACCAAGCAACACATACCACAGAGGAGCCCGAAGCATCCTGGCGACAAATGCGGATCCGGAACAAGCGCGGATGGCGGCTGACGAAACAATACGATCATGTGCCTCCTGTCTGTCCTGGCAAGATTAACTTCAGTACAAACAAGCATATGGAGAAATAGATATACCGCAGAACGACCTCCCAGAAACCACTGCAGCATGAAACTTTTCACATCGTTTCATTGTTCCTCCAATGCATACCTCTGCAGTAATAGTCATGTGTAGGAGCGCCCGCCTGCTGACGGCACTTCCATCCTCTCACGTCCGATGACAACCTGATGCACGGTATGCAACAGTTATTCGAAGTTGGTATGTTTGCTGCCTCTACCACCATCATACAAATATGTCATGCCAAGCCGCAAAGAGCCCTGGCAAGAATCGGAGCTCCTCAAAAGCTGTTTCCAGAACTCCCCCAGCGACGGAGACCTTGGTTGTCGCAAGAACCACACGGAACAACGCCACACTGCTAGCACCAATCATATTGCGTTGCCCTGCACCCGGCAGCAGTACCTGCTGAGGCAGCAGCCAGAACGGCCTTGGGCTCACACGGTAACCGACAAGCTGACACTTCCCACAGATGTTTCACGCTGAATGGAACGACTTATTGAGAAAACAACGGCTGGTACAATAAACAACTCTGCATGCGGTTTATGCAGTCGACGGAAGACCTTACCATGTAGGCACAAGAACCCTCATTGCGATTGCAGGCTGCTACGCCCGGTAACAAGGTCCAATGTGCTCACCGACAGGAAAGTGTGTTTCATACTGACTTCTCGACAGCTCCAATAGCTGCAAGTCCTTAGCACAAGACACGGCAATCGCGTCCAATGCAAGCAAGGCACAACGATGATCGCCGGTTTTGCGTTGTAGAGAGTGCACCTGGTTCACAGGGACATGGACATGGCTCGACACGCGGGAACGGTGTGCCTTTTGGAAGGAAGCTTCGAGGGATCAACTGCTTGCACCGTCGCTCGCGAATGAACAACTGCACTGAGCAAAGAAACGCGGCCAAGTCGCAGAGTGATAAACTTCCTAAGTTTCTGTGCCGAGCTGCCACTATCGGCTTTGATCTATCACTGACTGATTGTACCTGCACATGCCTGGCGCCTGCAACTTTCTTGAAAGCCTTTCCGGAAATATGATGACATGGCATTGAGCGAACAAAAATCCAACCACTCACCAACTGGCAAGTAGCATCGTCGCTGGAACGTGTATCGACATGTTCTGACAAACATAGGCAGAGGCGGTGACCAAGTCGCACTCTTTCAAAACAGCTCCTGACTTGTGCCGCGTCTCGCTGTGCCGTTGGTTGACCAGTCGTGAGAGATGAAATCGTCAATCTGCGTTGTCTGCCGAGCTTTCTCCTGAAACATGGAATCCCTCACTGCTTTGCCATGTCGTTAACGTCGAGAAAAGGGATGCCATGCGGCCCACTGACGCAGAGGTCCAGGCTCATCATCACTAAGCTACCCTGGATGACGCTGCGTCCTGCACGCTCCGGCTGTGTCCCAAACCACCCGTGATCTGCCCCTGCCAGTGCTTGCCTGGGCTTCGAATTTAACGCACACGTGAGCAGTTATTCCCGAATTCGGTGGCCGTTTTTGTGCAGCCAGACCGCCAAACCCCTCGAGGCAGTCCGACAGGTGCACGGCCTGGCCAAGAAGGGTATATAGGAGGAAATGCACAATACCTAAACCGTCTAGACAACTTCCGGTGTATGAGCAACGTCCACTTACCGGGGAGTGGTAAGGTGTGAAACAAGGCGGAGTGCATGCAAGAACAAGCTTCACAACGTAAGGGCAGCCTTCGAAATATCCGGGCTGAGCTCTTCCACCAGTGCGAAATTCCTGGGACAAGAGGAGAGTCAAGTACTACCGAAATCCCTGTTAGCGTTTGTCTTCAGAGGTGTTGCAAGTCGTGCTAAAAGTTACTTTAAACTTGAACACGAAACCCCGCGCCCCAAGCCAAGAAATCCTGAAGACCCAAACCATAAAACCCCGCAACCCTCCGACTCGGAGAATCTGAATCCCCACAGCCCGAACAACGTAAATCGCAATCCCATCCTACAAGAAGAAACCTTGAACACCTAGTTCTTAAGGCCCTTAAAGTACAAGGAGTAGCACTTATAACGCCCTTCGGAGGAACCCTCACAGCAACACGATTTCTCAAGCACTGCCATCGCCTAAGTCCCGGACAGCATCCCGACGAGGCCGGGATCTTGTACTTGTGGCAGGTCCGGATCCTGGAGAAGGGGGTCTATAAAGGGTTAACCATATGGGTCACTGTGCGGGTCCTGGGGTTTTACGGCATCGGGCCTTCGGCAACAGTGTTGACAAAGACGAGGGCCATATGATACCCTAGATCAATGACAGCAGTAGCAAACACAAGACTGGTCACAATCATGTTCAAGAAGTGTAGCAACAGCCAGAGTCATTACAATCAACTGTAGCGAAATCTCATGACACAAACACCAGCAAGTGAATAGTAGCAGCTGAGACAATGATAAGGTGAGCGACATGGTGACAACGGCGATGGTGATGCTCAGGTGATGGTGATTTCGCTGTGATACAAGCAGTGAAGACGATCGCAGATTGATGGTGATGTTGAATTTTAAAACTTCATCAGTACACCATGTCGTTGTTGTCATTGCTAGCATCACGATAGAACTACTAACACCCTGCTTGTATAAACACAAGCGCAAGAACACGAAATCTTGCTGACTATATGTAGATATTATGCGCGAACCTATATTTATGTGTGCATATATATGTATATATAAACAATATATATATATATATATGCTATCCCCCCCCTCAAGGATCTACCTTTTTCGTGTGTTTGAGAGCCGGATGGGAAATACTTGATATTCTATAACGTATTCCCTTCTCTTTATAAGCCCTTCACTAAATACGCTTCGACTCGATCAAAGATTTCGCAGATCCTAAATTCTGCATTTCCTTCATATACACACTGAGTTTTTCCAAGCGACATACATTAGCGTACGGCTTCTTCTCGTGTGGCAAAAGAACGCAAGGTTGCATGCATGTTCTGTGTGTGTATAGGTTTTTGCATGCAGCAGTATGGGCTGTGAACGTAACACGCAACAGGAGAGCAAAGATATGTCATCCCGTATCACGACAAGTATAGATATGCAAAGAGGACCCTATTTCTACACGTCCCATATATAGGACGCATCGGGATTATAGATAATATCCGCGAACACGAAATCTATCGATATTTCCAGGGTTCAATACCTTGTGTTTCACCAATATAGTACCGTTTAAATTACATTTAAGAATACTTTGCAAAATTCCACTCACATAACCTTTATATCTTATAGAAATCCACCCGAACATCCTGTCGCATACCGTCTCCAAGACCACCTATATAGGATACACCCCGCACGCACTATATTACACATACCCTATAGGACACTCTATACAAGACACTATATAGAATATCTTGCAGGATGTCCTTTGGAATACTTTCTCTATGTATCGTAAAGCCTTTCATATGGAATGCACTGATATAGAATACCCTCATGCCTTATTGAATACCCTAGAGCCTCGAGAATACCTTATCATATACTTTCAGTCACAGTCCGTATATCTTTTGAATATCTAGAATACCTTACAAAATACGATATAGAATACCCTACAAAATACCTTATGGAACACATACTACCCTCTATATGTCGTGCGCCTCATTGAAGACCGTCTGGAATACTCTATAGAAGACCTTACAGGATGCCCATATGGCCCTATACATGACAGTCGTGGTATACAGTATATATACCATGAACCCATATAACATTTAGTGGCGCAAAACCAAACTTTCAACTTTTGGCCGCTAATAAGGTAATCTTGTTGCGACAGTTTAAACTTCTTACACCCCCATAGGTATTTGGGAAGTAAGAGTACCTATAGATAACCTTTCAACGAGCCCAAGATCTGAGAACCCCTCATAAAGAAGCAGCCTATTGGGTAAGGGGTTTCTAGGAGTGATCCAGGAGTCGAAGAGAATAACCTAAAGAATACCACAAACCCCAAAGAATTTCGTACAGGTGACCCTAGGTAAGACGTTATAGAATATCCCCTATATACCTCATAGATATCTTCTTGAGTACCTTATAGCCGTATAGCCTATACATTACGTTATAGAACACGTTCTGTAAGATAATCTTTACGTTCATGTTGATGCCTTGTACAATCCCTTATACAATGCGTTATGGAGTACCCGATAGAAAGCCCGAAACAACGTTACATACTTGGCCTTTTATAGGCCTGGTACAATATCATCTGCATTTCCCTACCGACTAGCTTACAGAATACACAATATCTATGATACCCTCTGAGTACCCCACAGGAAGTCCTAAAGAAAACCTAACGGATATTCTATAACATACCCGTAGAATGCACCATAGAATGCCTTGTAGAGTACTTTATAGATAACGGATTAATGGCAGGATAATCAGGAGCAGAATGCTCTGCGCTGTACCTGCTATGTGCCCAATGAAGAAATCAAAAACTAGAGCATATAGAACACCTTACACGATACTCCTCCTTTACATCTTAAAAATTTCATATAGATACCCATAGATTATAGAAACCCTTTATACCTTTATGAATCCTGTTGAATACCCGTTGGTGATTTCACCAATATTCACAGACCAAAAAAAACGCTTGCCATCATTTTGAAAAACCGCTCACCAACACGCAGCACTCGAGATCCTGGTAAACACGTTCGGCACATCAAGTTCAAATTCCTCAACCCTGAACCTGAAACCCCGCCCACTTGGGACGAAGCGCGATTGCAGTCAAGCGGCCCTGATTCAACTCAATCGGCCCCGATTGAACTCAATCGGGGGCCGGATTGAAGATTGAAGATTGAAGATTCCCCGGCAAAAGTTTTCGAGGGAATCTTCAATCTTCAATCCGGCGCCCGATTCAACTCAATCGGCCCCGATTGAACTCAATCGGGGGCCGGATTGAAGATTGAAGATTGAAGATTCCCCGGCAAAGTTTTCGAGGGAATCTTCAATCTTCAATCCGGCGCCCGATTCAACTCAATCGGCCCCGATTGAACTCAATCGGGGGGGGGGCGACTGAGTTCAATCGGCCCGATTGAACTCAATCGGGCCAGGGTGGAGTTCACCCAGCCACAAAACGGTCCATCGGGTAGGCCCTCCCCTCAAGGATCTTCCATTTTCGTGTGATGTGGCTCACAAACACACGAAAAAGGTAGATCCATGGGGGGGGGGATACCATATATATATATATATATATATATATATATATGTATATATAATGTGTGTCTATATGCGTACATATATGCAGATATGTACACATAATATACATACATACATATATACATATATACACACATATATATATATATATGTATATATATATATCAGATTTATTGAAATATTTATATGAATCGTAGGAGGTGGTTTCAGCAGCAGAGGCGGCAGCAGCAGCACTACTGGTAATGGCAGCGGCAGAAGTAGTGGCACTCGGGAACAGTTGGCGGTAATGCTAGGTGGCAGTGTTTGTTATTGTTGTGGTGGTAGTGGTGGTTGCTGCTGCGGTTGCAATTGCTGCTGCTGCTGTTGTTGTTGCTGCTGGTGTTGTTGTTGTTATTGTTGCTGTTGTTGCTGTTGTTGCTGCTGCTGCTTTGCTGCTGCGGTTGCAGTTGCTGTTGTTGTGGTGGTGGTTGCTGCTGCTGTTGCTGTTGCGGTTGCGGCTGCGGCTGTGGCTGTGGCTGCGTTAGCAGTTGCAGTTGCAGTTGCAGTTGATGCTGTCGTTGTTGCTGTTGCAGTTGCTGCTGTTGTTGTTGCTCTTGCCGTTGCTGCTGCTGTGTTTGTTGTTGCTGTTGTAGTCGTAGTCGTAGTGGCAGTTGTAGTTGCTGTTGTCGTTGCAGTGCAACTAGTCGTCTCCGTGTGGTCGTCGTCATCGTAGTGGTTCTGCTAGTGGTGGTCGTTGTCATGGTTGTCGTCGACGTCTTAGCACGATTGTTGTTTGACTGATCTTGCATGATTGCTCGTCACAATAGCGGCAGCATTGCTAGCATAATGGACTGGGCTGCATGCGAATGACAGAAGCGAGTTGCAAGGGCAATCGGGTGGCTGTTGCCACCGTACCCACACGTAACAAATGGTACCGCGCCTCGCTGCCGTCGTCCTCACGTCGCTTCGAGAAGACACACGGCGTGGTTCAACCCGCTACTCCGGCATGCTCAGAACGACGTCCGTGTACGAGCCAATGTGGCAATTAGAATCATTATGTGCAGCTAAGACATGTCTTCCAGACCATTGCCGACAAGTCTCATCGAAATCCTCACCTCAATGAGGGCATCTTCAGCTGCCACAAAAACAGGCAAGCAGCAGTTGAACGTACGCAGAGGGAGACAGAGAGAGAGAGAGAGAGAGTGCATTCATCCACAGCTCGGACTAAAGATACTAAAGTAGGTGCGGGACTGAAAACAGACTCTTCTTCGTCGCTTCGAGTGCCGCCCGCGCCGCCCTCCTCCTCGCTTGGCGCGACCCTGCTCGCTGTGCCCCCCACGTCCATATGCATGCCTGACCCGTGCAGGAAAACTGCTCGAATATCCCGTGGTCAGAATTTCTCAGGTGCGAGCCGGCTAAGGCCCGGTAGCTAACAGCAGCCGCATGTCACGGTGATGGCCGATGTCCATGGCTCAATCTCTATGCTTGCTGATGTCTGTTGGCTGGGTCATGCCCCAACCGTCTATGCCCGCACTACGCGCGATGCCTACAGTATGCCTGCAATTGCATGGCAGTTGGAGAGGTGACGCTTAAGTTCGAGCTACAGAATGTGCTTCTCATCCTTGATCCCAGCTTGGCATTCCCACATGCCCAGCGGATCATACCGTGCAGCATGTTGGCAAACTGCATTAGTGTCCGAGGCGGGTGACACTGAACAAACTTCAACATCTTCACCGAATCTTCACCCCAAGTCCATCCATGGCATGACGTGCTAAGCCCATCTCTCCCGAGCATCGATGTGGCGACTGGAAAGCCATAGCTGCGTCAGCAGCTCCCTGGCTGAGGCTCAGAAGTCAACCGAGCTCCTACCCTTAATTTCCTGCTACTTAGGCTGTTGTGGCTTGGCGAACGTCATCGTGCCCACGTCGTTTGTACGGTGGACGGTTGTTGACGACTACGGGTCCGGGCAGCATCGTGATGCTCCTCTTCCAAACTACTTGTCAGAAGCAAGATCATGGTCGTCGAAGCTGTGACGGTTGTTGCTGCTGCTACTGCTGCTGCTCCTAGTCGCAATGCTGGTCATGCCTTCCATTAAGTGATTGCCTTTTTCAACTTTTGGGTACTTTTGGATCGTCATGGTTACTTCTGCTCATACTGTTCAACTAGACTTCTTCCCTTCTTCCTCCCTCGTGACAACATTCCGCAATACTCGCGTCATCACGATTCATGAAGGGGACACATGCTGGCCCCATTACGGCAACTCGACGATCAGGTAGTTTAGCTGCCCCGCACTATATCCTGAAAACCCAACTCTAGCTTTCAGGAGGAGTGCAGCAAATTTGGCATCTTCCAGACACCAGCGGCAGCAGCACCAACGCAAACCAACACGGAGGCCTGAGAGTGTAGGCGCCGATTTGGCGTCCCCGGCGTAATCACTACTGTGTAGTGATGAAACAGATAGAGTCAGACTTCAGCTGTGATTTGAGCACCGAGGCTTGGATAACCACAAGATTCTCAATCTAGGTCGGGTGGATTGCTTGCCGGCAACTGACCGCATCTGTGCGTGATAAAGGTGCAGAGGTGCTACGACTGGCTTTCGCCAAGGGGTCTGTTCTTTTTCGCTTGCTTGCGCAAGCATGTTTCTTGATGTATCTGGCTGCGGCGGAGTGGACGCTCTCATCGTTCGGCCACCTAGCGAACCGATCTATAACAAGGAAGACACCGATCCAAGTCTGCTGCAAGTGACGTTGCCTGGAGCCGCTTTTTCAGCATATTCTGCGAATCACCTCCACTGGCGGCCGCCTTGGGAAGAGTCGCCGCTCGCCAATGACAACCCCGAGCTTGCCTCCATGGGATTCCCGGATGACGCTAGCAAGAAGCAACTGCATGCAGAAAAATGTTGCAGGACATGCTCCATGGGCAACGAAAACAGCTCGGGAGCACGTCCGGCCAATGCACTGCAAAATCCATGCACACCGGGCAGTGAAATTACCCGTTCCCCCGCTCGTTTGTCTTGACACTGATAAGAGGAAACCTGCCAGACGCACACCTGAACCCCCGGCTCTGTCGAAATCACACACCGCAGTCACTGCTCTGGGCGACACTCACTGCTCTGCACCGCCTGAACACGTCTCATATCAAGCTTTATCCCCCGCTCGCAACAATTGCCGCTGATGTGTCTCTCTGCCTCGCTCCCCCGTTGTGTCTTTCGGAGGGCCCAGGGTCCTCGCTCTTTCTTTGACGATGCTCGCCGCAGAGGCCACATCCGGCTGTTGAAGGGGCACCCAGTGCTCCCTGTAGTGGTTGATTAGACCACCGCCTCGCTCTGCAGAAACATGACTTCAAGTGTAAACTGAGTTCTGCGGTGGTCTGCTAGCGCTGGCGTGCAGAGGGACCCTACAGAGTGGTCGCCTTCACTCGTGACCCGGGCTTTGCTCTGCTTCCGATCCGACAAACCAGCATAAAGTATGTTCAAGCTATCCAAAGCACCAACATGACTCGACATGGGCCTAGGTTGGCCTCATGCCAAACACTAACACAATCTTACACAACAGGGGCGTCTCTCCTCTCGTACGAGAACTGTGCCCTTCTGTTCCGACGAAAAAACCAGAGACAGAGAGAGAGAGAGAGAGAGAGCGATGCCGACCCACTTGCAGGTGTGCTGAGGCTGGAGGCCAAGCATTCGGCTCCAACCGTGCGACGCATCTACCTTCTTCCTTATAGGGTTTATTCGGATCTTCCCTCGACACGAGTCTTTCCTTTCATGCTGGCTTGGAGGTGTAACTCTTGTTTGCTTGCTGACCTTGGAGAGCAGCCCCCCCGGCCCCCGGCAGGGTAGACTCCCCCCGCGCACCCCCACGCAGCCGCGTGCTCGTCGTTCAGCTGCAAATATAGGTCATTGCCGAAGTGCGCTGTGAGGCCATTCCAGTTCCCCCAAAGCCGGCACGGCTTCTGCGTAATCTCAGTTTTCCGCAGCCTACGGGACGAAGAGACTCCCCCCCCTCTGTCTTGGGGGATCCTTGCTGCGTCGCCTCCATTAACGGCTCTCCTACAAGTAGATAAAACCTGCCGTCGCTCCGAGGCTACGACCCCCGACAACAGGAATAGGCAATAGTGTCAACAGTCTTTCCTTCTCTATAACGGGCCTCTTTCTCTCCGTTCTATGTCTATGACTCGTCCAGCTCTGCAGGCAGAGGAGGAGCCAGGAGGAGATGCCGAGGTGCCCAAAACGGAATGATGAGAAGAATATAGCGCGGCATATGCTGTTTTATGAGGTCAGCGGTGCACCAAGACAACTGGCATGCAAACCATTGGCCTGGCGCCGGGCGGAAGATGATCATCCTTGGTCACAGGTGCAGGCTTATGGCTGACAGAAGCTGTATGGGATGGAGAGCAGTGTCACTGGCAATCAGCGACATGTTGAGGCATCATCACCACCAAAAAACAAGGCCAAAGCAAGAATAAGTCGTTCCCAAAACTCCCCACAGCAAGTGTTGAAAGGTGTCCTGCCATCAGGCAACCCCTAACACCAAAGCAGTCAATGCTTCGCAACACCCTGGGCAAGTGTCATGCACAGCTGCAAGCTGTGCTTGAACAACGAGGCTGACACGCACAGCTGTGAAAAAATGCAACCTTTCGTTGGGTGGCGCCTCTCAACCCACCGTTTGCCAGGGGCATCGCGACAGACTTTGCGGGTTGGCGGTGCGCCGCTTTGGAGGAAATTGCATCAGAAGGTCCCAGTGCAACCACGGAGTGTCCTGACGGTTCAATTAGGCGATGCATGTTGTCCACGGCATAAACGGAAAGTGGCACGGTGCGTGCCAGCGAATCGACTGCAGCCTCCAGTTGCTTACGGTGTGACGGAACCTTGATGCTAGGTGGCTTCCCTGTCGCATCACGAAGAATCACACATGGAGCAGTAAAAGACTAGAAGCCATCCTCTCGCACGCTCTGCAACCGCAACTCAGAAGACGTTGTTTTCAGTTGCCCGTCTGATCCCAAGGTGTGAGTTCTGATCTCGTTCACACCAACCAGTGGGCCAAATAGGGCTTCCCCGAAGCTGGTACGTTGAAGTGCACAGCTGTGACATGGGGTTCAACGAAAGCCGACTGTTTCAACTCTGCGCCTGGTTGAAAAAGCCCAAAAGTTAAGCAGCAGTTGCTTTTTGACGGCCGAGAGTCGCGCCATTGACCTGGCTGTGTCAGCGTCCATGGCAGCCGATGCACTTCCGACTACGCAGCATCTACAGCAGCCGACCGAATCAGATAATCCAGAAAACCGTCATTCACGAAGGAAGGGCACATAGCATCCAGGCCTGAATCTCACCAAGGACTGGCAAGTGCAACTTCTGCTGGCAGTCTTTCAGGTGCAGCTCCTACATGCACTTGGGTGGTTTGTACAGGGAACGAAAATCAAAACCAATGAGAACACACTTCACTTGCCAGGAAGTGCGCCGGCATGACACTTGAATTCTGAGCACCACTAGCCGTACACACAGACAAGATGGTCGGTCTGCGATCATGACCACCGACACAACGATTCTCTCTGGCCTCGCAAACTGTTGCCCAGTTCGTCACAACGCCAACTCCTGATTAACGGATTCTGTGCCGTTCTGTTCCGTCTCATGACTGCTGTAGTGATATGCCCTTGACTCTTGACCTGAGCGCATTAAGACCCCTTGGAACTACAGGAACCATGATCGCGCGGACGAGCCGCGTCCCTGCGCGTTGATGCTAACCCATAAGTTATCCTATGTAAGATGCCCCATCATACCGCATCGCTTAGTAAGGAGGATTTTAGTTGGCATCCTAACATTGCGGCCCTCAGTGAAGGTGGGGTTCTGCTTATAATCCGAGTCGACATGAAGTGTGAAGACACCAGAACAGTGCAGAAGGAGACCAACAGCCGTCTTAGACGAAAAGTAGCAAAATCTAAAAATCGACCATGTCATGGGGCAAATCTCAGCGAAGCCACTGCCGCGGACACTGGGAAGGAAGCCCGGCACGTCCGAACCTTCAGGAGGGTCAGACAACTGGACACACATGGCTGGAACGACTGTGGCTGCAAAACTGCAAGTCTCTCATGTAATCTTGCACAAACACAGACAGGCGGCGAATTTCACTAAGCACTCTGGGAAGTTTTCTGGGAACTCGGGCGGCCAGCCCGAAAGGAAGGAGGTTGCAGCGAACACCTGCCACAATACGGACATCCGAGATGTGCTTGCCTTTATTTAGTTGGCTGCACCATGTCTGTGAAGGTGGTCCCGTCGCAAGGTTGGGCTGAATTTCGCAGAAGTTGCTTTGAGCTTGAACCCCCTCAAGGCCTGATGCCAGCTGGGCTTGCAAACTCTTCCTGAGCTGAAACACTCGCAAACGACCTGTAAGTGATTGACCTGTACTTTTAGGTAATTAGGTCCTATCATATTGACAAATTTGCATGGTTCGACCTGTGTTCTCAGTAACTCGTGGGCGTGGGCGTGAGGGTGTCAGTGGTGGAGGTAGCAGTCGTAGCAGTCGCAGCAGCTGGATGCCACAGGATGACGCGGAAGACAAGGACAGTATGAACGCGAACGCATCCACGATAATAACGCGGACGCGGAAAGACGCGTAACAAGGACAAGCAGCGAAGGACGACCACGACGAGGACGACGACGACGACGACCACGACCACGACCACGGACGACCACGACGAGGACGACGACGACCACGACGATGGGATGCCAGCAACTAGTGCTGTAGCGAGCTCCAGAGAAGCTGCAACTTTCTTTTCCACGGACTCCAGCAGGTTCTGGTGGCGAACTAGCGAGGCGCAGTGCATTTAAGCAAAGCTCAGGAGCATTCGAATGCACATTTTCGTGGGGATGATCTCCTGTCATGCAAAAAGGTTGCTGCTCAAGCTTGGCAGTAGCGATCCTGGCCTGCGGTTCGCAGATGTACAACACCAATGCTCGCGCAACGCCACTTTCCACTTCGAGAGAACGAGAGCGAGTTCCTTGGCCGGCACAGCACATCGGATTGAGATCTGAGAGTGTTTAGGGTTTAGGGCTTAGGGTTTAGAACGTTTGGAGTCGCAGGTTGTGGGTCGTATGCACACGCTGCACTCTCAAGCCCACTATCTCCCATCTGCTTGCAGTCTTAAGTTTTGCCTGCTCCGTAACCAGCCCCAGCCCGAGCCTGGCCTTTTCTAGGGCAGCGCGAGCCGTCCATCTTCCCCTGGCCGGCAGAAGAGATCCGAGAGTTTACGACTCAGGGTAGAATGTGTGGAGTCCCAGGTTGTGGGGTCTTACGCGCACTCTGCACTCAAGCCCACTTTCTCCCATCGGCTCGTAGTGTTGATTTTTTGCCTGCTCTGTGCCAGCCTGAGCCTGGCCTCAGACCTTGTCTGCCAGGCGGGCACAGACTATCGCGCGGCTCTTTGGGCCGGCAGGACTTTGGCAAGCCGCTTCGGCGCAGGCACCGACGCGTCCTCCTTCTCCTCAAGCAGCTCTTGCAGAGGCAAAACAGCTCGAGGCCTATACTCTGCACGGCGCTTCTTCTTGAAGAGACGCTTCCGAACTTTGGTCCTACGCGATTCTCGGGAGCTCCCGTCATCTTCGAGAGATACCCGAGCCGCCGCAGCCGTAGGCAGTACGCCGGCGCTGTGTACCCGCAGACCCAGGCGCTCCTGCACGTAGTACTGGTGAGGACAGTGGCCCTTGCGAAGGTGGTACCAACATGTGCACTGAACGATGTCACCTGCAATTATCTGCTCCTGGGAGCTGGCCGCCGGCTGGCCACTTCTCGATCTATAGATCACCACGCAGTGCTCTGTCCAGAAGCGATCGAGGGAGGGGAAGGAAATCTTCCACGGAGCCAACTCATTCGCGACCGAGAGCAAGACGCCGTGCTGCTGCAGGAGCGCTTTGAGCTGTGGCACGTTGCGAGTTCGAAGCTGGGCCATCATCTGCCGGGCATGCCCTGAGTCGACCGGCCCTGGTGTTCCCGTGCGCATGATGAAGCAGCGCCCAGTGCTGAAGCTGTCCTCAACGACGCAGGATGGCGTCCGGCCAACATCGTCATGGATCCGCCAGACAGCTGGCACAATGACCGTCCCAGACCCCGGCAGGTGATGCCGCCAAAGCCCTGTACCATCTCGCTGAACCATCCATAAGTCTGGGGACAGCGGAACTCCGCCGGTATTCCCGCTTGGTGTCACCAGGCCATAGGACGCCTCGGTTGAAGTACTGACGCTGGACCATAAAGCCACAGCACTTTTGCAGCGCTCAATCACGGCTGGGAGCTTGTCGTTAGGGGACTTGCCGACGATCCTCTTGAACTGTCGATGGGATGCCTCGCTTTGTTGCTGGCTAGGTGGATGCCCTGCCACGGTTTTGGAGGCGTGGCCATACCAGAAAGAAGCTTTCAGCCCCGTTTCGATGCCATAGATCTGCGCATCCACGGGGCCTTCGTGGAAGTACTGCCTTCTCAGATACGCAGCGAAGTCAGGGTCCGGCCATTCGTGGGTCATTCGCTGCAACCACTCGGATGCCAGAAGCATGAACAGGCTGAGCGTCGGAACGCGCGCCAGCCGGTGTAGGTGCCCAATTACCACTGGCAACGGCCGCGATGCAAGCCTCGGCACGCGGAGTGGCTCTCCCGTTTCACGATCCCTGATCTCGCTCTTAGCGAAATTGCGGAACATGTGTTCCATTCCCGGTACATGACGGGAGGATGGGAAGGTCGCTTTGCACACTTGCCGTAGTCCAGGGAAGTGATCTGTGTGAATCTGACAGGGCATGGGCACGTCCCGTCGCTCCAGCTCTTTTTGAAGCTCTCGTAAAGCCACCCTGTATACATCGTGAGTTTCCTTGGGAACTCGAGCAAAACACAATGGTAGACCACTGCGCCTCCATCTGTCTGAAAGCAAACGATGCACGCTGGCTGTAACCATCAAGTACACCCATCTCCCAACCTCGACTCTGAAGGTGCCTCTGCGGTTGCTTTGTTTAACCAAACACGCGTGGGTTTTTGACCTTACTATAATGAGTCAAAACCAGCTAGGGCCAAGTCGCAATCGGCACTGAGCGTCCACATGCCCAAGTAGTTGGCCTGATGCACAGCTGCCAGGTGGTTCAGCATAGGTGGCAGAGTGGCCACGAAAGACCCCGACGGCGGGCTCACCACGAAACAAAGGAGGCCGGCATCTGCGTCCCGATGTTCCGCCAGGCAGCGCTGCCAATCTGCGACCCCCGTGACCGGCGGTGCATTCTGGCGACGAGGTCGCAAGAATGCAGCTGGATCGAAGCCACGCACTTGGTGGCGGAGTGCTTGCGCATTCATGGTTGGCGCGCTACCCTGAGCTGCCATGCGTCTCGCCACATGCGAAGGAGTCACCTCCTCTCCTTCCGCTGCTACAAGTGCAGTGGCGATCTTCAAGCGTCTTCGCTCGGTCACGGTAGGCGGCTGATCGGACAAGGACTCGCGCAGCACACGCGCTTGGCCACTGCACTCACCAGCAACGAGAATCTGCAAACGCACGGTATCATCGTCCTGGTTCAGCGAGCACTCCGCCCGGAAGCGACGACCTTTTCCAGCGTGGCAGCCCGTGCACTCCATGCAGAACATGTTTGCCTTCAACTTCTGCTGCGCTTCCCATGCTGTGGACAGCTTGCCCAAGCACGCACCATCATCACGGCTGGAAAAGCTTGCCATCCAGGCCTTGGAGGCAAGCCGAAAACGCTCTTCTAGATCATCCGCCGCGCCCGCAGGTCGTTGGCCAAGCACGTGTGTGTACTCATCGAACGGGCGCCACTCTGGACGCTTGGGCATGTGGCAAGCTGGATGGCGAGCCGTTGCCCCTTGATGGAAGACGTCTCGTGTCTCTAGCTGAGCCTCTCATGTGTCAGCCTCTCATATGCATTTCATATGTCACCATGATATGTCAACATGTTTTTGCTTCTTAACTTTGTTCGCGCACGAAAACGAGCCAAGCCAGCTTTGCAGATCGGCAATCCACGCTCTGTCCATGAATCTGACTAAGGCTCGCCCCGGCATTCACAGCTTTCCGCGCGCGCCTCCAGCCGTGACCGGTCCGCCCACGCCCTCCGAGAGGCCTCAACTCCAGCTGGAGGGGTTTCGGGTCAACAACACCTCATGCTGTCAAACTGTTGCCGTAACAGACTAGGCGGCTGCCAGGGAAGCTAGTCTATTTGCCCTCTCCTTCTTCGTCATGAGGCTTCCAGTAGCTCGCGTAACAATGCTATTGGATTCGCCAAGCCTTACTAGAACCTTTCGAACGAAGCAAGCGGCAAACAGACCAGCTTTTGTGCCCAGCAAACCAGTCTGTTCACCTGCTCCTGCCTTCTCTCTTGAGGTTCAATCTTTACGTGTCTGTTTAGTCTCGCTAGGACTTCTCAGACAAACCAAGCGGCAAACAGACTAGACAGATGTGAGGCAAGCTAGTCTATTTACCTGTCCATGAAGTCAGAAACATTCAGCCCTGCCGGCGCCTCCAGCCGTGACCGGTCCGCCCACGCCCTCCGGGAGGCCTCAACTCGAGCTGGAGGGGTTCGGGTCAACAACACCTCATGCTGTCAAACTGTTGCCGTAACAGACTAGGCGGCTGCCAGGGAAGCTAGTCTATTTGCCCTCCTTCTTCGTCATGAAGCTTCCAGTAGCTCGCGTAACAATGCTATTGGATTCGCCAAGCCTTACTAGAACCTTTCGAACGAAGCAAGCGGCAAACAGACTAGCTTTTGTGCCCAACAAACCAGTCTGTTCACCTGCTCCTGCCTTCTCTCTTGAGGTTCAATCTTTACGTGTCTGTTTAGTCTCGCTAGGACTTCTCAGACAAACCAAGCGGCAAACAGACTAGACAGATGTGAGGCAAGCTAGTCAGTTTACCTGTCCATGAAGTCAGAAACATTCAGCCCTGCCGGCGCCTCCAGCCGTGACCGGTCCGCCCACGCCCTCCGGGAGGCCTCAACTCGAGCTGGAGGGGTTCGGGTCAACAACACCTCATGCTGTCAAACTGTTGCCGTAACAGACTAGGCGGCTGCCAGGGAAGCTAGTCTATTTGCCCTCGCCTTCTTCGTCATGAAGCTTCCAGTAGCTCGCGTAACAATGCTATTGGATTCGCCAAGCCTTACTAGAACCTTTCGAAGGAAGCAAGCGGCAAACAGACTAGCTTTTGTGCCCAACAAACCAGTCTGTTCACCTGCTCCTGCCTTCTCTCTTGAGGTTTAATCTTTACGTGTCTGTTCAGTCTCGCTAGGACTTCTCAGACAAACCAAGCGGCAAACAGACTAGACAGATGTGAGGCAAGCTAGTCAGTTTACCTGTCCATGAAGTCAGAAACATTCAGCCCTGCCGGCGCCTCCAGCCGTGACCGGTCCGCCCACGCCCTCCGGGAGGCCTCAACTCGAGCTGGAGGGGTTCGGGTCAACAACACCTCATGCTGTCAAACTGTTGCCGCAACAGACTAGGCGGCTGCCAGGGAAGCTAGTCTATTTGCCCTCGCCTTCTTCGTCATGAAGCTTCCAATAGCTCGCGTAACAATGCTATTGGATTCGCCATAGCTTTTAATTTGTGCCCAGCAAACTAGTCTGCTCACCTGCCTCCCTGCCTTCTTTCATCTTTACGTGTTTGTTTACCGCTTGGCCTATCCCGGAAGGATTCTTAGCACTCCTCAAGTATTATCGAGGAAAAGATCCCAAGCCCTCGAGCCTGGCGCGTTCGGCGCTTTGCGGCCTCTGCTCTTCGCTGCCGCTTTCGGCTTGGGCCCTTCTAACGCACGCTTGCGCTTCTGTTCTGCTTTGTCAATCTCTTCTCTCTCCTCTTCCTCCTTGGCTTCTCTTTGGCATTTTCGAAGACTGTCCAGCATTTGCCTTTCGTCGCCCAGTGTCAGTGCAAGTTTGAAATCATCCATTCTCAACTCCTTTTTGCCACGGTGTTGATTCAACAGGTGTGCCCGATGAAACAGCGAGGACACGATCTCGTCGACTGCAGATCCTAAGAGCAACATCGCCTCTTCCTCGATGGTGATGCCCTTTGGAATCTTAGGAAGAAAATGTTTCAAAGTGTCCGGAACCATGATATCCGGAGGTCTGAGCCGGAAATCCTCTATGTCCGTCTCTGCTGGCAAAAGCATTCCGGGGCGATCCACCAAGTAAACGTCTTTGTCCTCGGCTAAACACTTGGTAACTCGGCAGACACTTTGGCGACAGTCAGGGCAACCTGCAAGGTCCAAGGCTCTGTAGACCAGCACGCAGTCCACACAAAAAAAGCCTTTGATGTGGTTTCTGTCAGTTCCGGTCACGTGGATTAGCTTCGCCTCCACTTCCTGAACTTCCTGGTTGGCCTGTTCCACGAATTTGACAAAGCACCGACCCATGCTGGTGCACTGCGTGTCTTTGAGAACGGCATCCACGAGCTTCCGCTTCTTTTGCGCTTGCAGCGCCTTCTCCTCCTCTACCTGCATCTTCTCGTAGGGCGCCCGGTCCTCGTCACTCAAGGACTTGAACCTTGCGGACGCCTCACGCATCATGCCTCTGCAACCCTTGGCAGTCAGGGTATTCTTGATTGCGCGGTAAAAATGGAGGAATGGAGTCGTGGCCTTTTCCTTTCTATCGCTGACTTTCTCTGTCGGCGCCTCCTGCTTAACAGCCGCCTCCTCTCCTCGCGCGGACTCCTCCTCATCCTGCATCGCTGGCAGTGCTGCCTGCTCCTCCTGCGCGATGCCTCGCGCCTCACGCAGTCGGCGCAGCAGTTCTGCCTTGTTGCCGCGCACTCGCAGGCCCTCCTGCCGACACTCTGCTTGCAGCTGCCGCACATTCATCAGCGCGATATCTTTGCTGCTGGTTGGCTTCGGTGCAGCCTCTGGAACACCTTCGGATGCCGAGTCCGGAGCCATCTCTGTGGGCGTCTCGGGTGGCGACCGTCTGTCCTGCTGCAGTGGGCTCTGGGCTGGGCTTTGAACAAAAAACAGTGCTGCTACTCCGTCCTTCTTGCTGTTGGCAGGGCTTGCGGACTCGTCCTCTGGGTCCCTCTGTGTCCTGGGCCAAGTGAGTCGTGCTCGAAAACGCTCAAAGTGCGTAGCTGTGCTCGGACCGCCCTGCACCCCACACCCTAACATGCCATCAGACCAACCTTCGGCCATGCGACTTCTCGGGCTTTTCGTCGTCCGAGTCGACCTGCGTCCTGTAGTAATAGTACTAGATACTATACTATACTATTCTATGCTACACTATACTATACTATGCTATGCTAAACTATACTGTGCTATCCTCTACTATACTATACCAAGTTATATCATACAGTATCGTATAGTATCGTATGATATCGTATAGTACAGTATAGTATAACATAATAAAATATAGTATAGTATAGTAGAATAGAGTAGAGTATAGTATACAGGTAAACACCGAAATCATAACAAAAACGGTGGGCGAGCCTTCCCCGAACTACCCGCGCGTTAGGACTCATCTTCGGAAGCCATAACAAAATCGTTTTCCACCATGTAACCGCGGGATATTTGAGTAGTCTGCAAAGCATGTTCAGCGCTGATAAGAAGTCACCACATTTGTTGTTTGCCCCAAATAACCGCGCCTGACACAAAACATGACTTCCACACACCGCGTCTGAAACTTTCTACCGACCCGTGGGCTTGGAAGCGAAAAGAGGCACTTCCAGTGCTAAAGTTGAACTACAACCAAGCACAATCCAGCCAGGACGCCAAACGAGGCATTTCCAGTACTAAAGTTTTACTACAAAAAAATCCAGCCAGGACGCCAAACGAGGCATTTCCAGTACTAAAGTTTTAGTACAAAAAAAACCAGCCAGGATGCCAAACGAGGCATTTCCAGTACTAAAGTTGTACTACTACCAAGCACAATCCAGCCAAGCGCCAAACGAGGCATTTCCAGTGCCAAAGTTGTACTACACGAAAATCCAACCAGGACGCCAAACGAGGCATTTCCAGTACTAAAGTTGTACTACAACCAAAGCACAATCCAGCCAAGACGCCAAACGAGGCATTTCCAGTACTAAAGTTGTACTACTACCACAATCCAGCCAGGACGCCAAGCGAGCCATTTCCAGTCCTAAAGTGGTACTACAACCAAGCACAATCCAGCTGCATTTGGAAAATTGTCTGTAAAGCCTTTCGGGCAAAGTCTTCTTCTTTTTGGCCATTTTTCCAGTGTTTAGCAAATGCTTCACAGCAGTTTTGCATTTCATAGGCCACGATTCTAAAGCCGCACAGTCCGTACCACTGCATTTGCAAAATTGTCTGCAAAGCCTTTCGGGCAAAGTCTTCTTCTTTTTGGCCACCCTTGCCAGTGTTTAGCAAGTGCTTCACAGCAGTTTTGCATTTCATAGGCCACGATTCAAAAGCCGCAGAGTCCGTGCCACTGCATTTGGAAAATTGTTTGTAAAGCCTTTCGGGCAAAGTCTTCTTCGTTTTGGCCTTTTTTGCCAGTGTTTAGCAAGTGCTTCACAGCAGTTTTGCATTTCATAGGCCACGATTCAAAAGCCGCACAGTCCGTACCACTGCATTTGGAAAATTGTCTGTAAAGCTTTTCGGGCAACGTCTTTTTCTTTTTGGCCATTTTTGCCAGTGTTTAGCAAGTGCTTCACAGCAGTTTTGCATTTCATAGACCACGATTCTAAAGCCGCACAGTCCGTACCACTGCATTTGCAAAATTGTCTGTAAAGCTTTTCGGGCAACGTCTTTTTCTTTTTGGCCATTTTTGCCAGTGTTTAGCAAGTGCTTCACAGCAGTTTTGCATTTCATAGGCCACGGCTCAAAAACCGCAGAGTCCGTACCACTGCATTTGGAAAATTATCTGTAAAGCCTTTCGGGCAAAGTCTTCTTCTCTGTAACCATTTCGCCGGTGTTTCGCAAGTGCTTCATAGCAGTTTTGCATTTCATAGGCCACCAGGACGCCAAACGAGGCATTTCCAGTACTAAAGTTGAACTGCTATATTACACTATACTAATACTCTTCTACTCTACTCTACTCTACTACTCTACTCTGCTCTGCTCTACTATACTATACTATACTAAACCTTAGCCACGCTGCCTCTGGGTCACATTCCCAGCCATAGCATTGTTCTGCAGGGGTTCCTGCGCACACACCGGTTTGCTGCGATAGCAGTATGCGTGCGGGAGCAAGGCTGGCCTTAACTAAATTCCAATGCCCGCTCGTAGTGGTGAAGGAAAATCTCAGGTGAGCCACGAGCTGACCACGTCCGTAAATTCCTTCGCGCGGGGGGTTCTCTGCGCCGACCCTGGAGATCTTTTGCAAGGCCTGGCACGAGGCACAACAAACTTTATAAACCCTGCGGTGAAAGCGCATCGGTGCCTCTGGATCGCACGAAGCCCGAACGGAAATCTGCAAAGCATCCGCTATCCAAGCAAGGTCCTGCGAGTACGGGCATGCTGTCTTACTGAATCTCTTGAAGCGTGCTGCTGCAAAGCCGTCCTCCATGGCAAAGAACTCTTGGCATCGAACTCGTTCTATAGCCTCGCGCCATGACAGCTTGCGGAGTATCACGAGGGGCCTACGCGTCAGTCATGGCCTCCTGCTGGTGCGGGCTGCGCTTGAGCGCAAGGTCACAGGTCTCTTTGCAGAGCGTGCGTGCTTGATGTGTCTCTAGCCGCAGTCGGTCCGCGGCTTTGGCGTAGCCAAGGGAAGTCCTAAGCTACACAGCAAAATAAAAAAGGCGGAAATACAAAGCAGCAGGAAACCGTTGCAACTGCGGCGAAGAATCCGCTCCACTGCCAGGAAACCTTGAACGTCCCGACTGGCGACTAGGCAATGCCAGCCACAGAGGCCATCCGGCGGGATGACTAGAACGTCGGCCTGGCTGCAGGATGTCTGATTGTGACCCATGAAATTGGTCGGGTATATTGTAACTCTAAAACAAATAGGACGATGCAGACACTCACGACGGTGATCATTTGTAACACCATCAGTGCTCTGTTGCTGTAACTGCACCTGAGCTTAAGACTTAAGAATCAAGCGCAAGGAGGCTTCCAGTAGTTCCACTTGGAGGATCACCCGTATGCCATTCGCTGAATTGGAACCTGGAGCCCAAACATCACCCAACCTAACACTGCCGGCAAGCTCCTGAGGCTCTATCAGATGTGGTGGCGGTGCCTCCGAGAAAGCTTGCGGGGGTGCACTGGGCAGCGAAGTGCCTGCTGACAGCGAAGGAAACGGGGATTGCATGCACATTCAAGGAAGAATGTTCGCCACGAACTGTGGGCTTGGAGGATCAGGGGCACGCCGATGCAAGATACTTCATATAGGCACGGGTTGGAGATGGAAGGTACAGAAAAGCCGACTGCTTTCTGTTCATGTGAAGCTGGCTGTGTCTCTCTATGCGTGGTGAGGACAAACTGAAAAAGATCCGCTGAGAACCAACAGACGTTCCTGTAAGGCTTTGGCACACGCCTCCTCCGTGGTCGAGTGACGAAGGCTGCCGCTCCTCTCAGCTGAGCACAGAAGGGCAGGTAGCAACAAAAGTTCGGGACGATAGGTTTACGACTTCAAGGTCGTCCAGAGCATGGGTAATCACTACATGTCAGTGTCGTCGGCGCTGGTGCTCTACCACCAATTTGTGACATGGTTTGTGCTGCAATCGCTCTCACGGTGACGACGACCCCGAGCACAAGAACGCAAGCTCACCAGCTCAGCATACACTCGCGATTTTGGAATCCAACTGAGCTTGTGGCCATCGTCATCTTGGCCAGTCCATCAGCCTCGTGCCGCGTAACACACCCTACCTGGAAGAAACCCCAAAACAATCGTATCAGCGCCGGCAAAAATGACCATGTGTCCACAAGGCCGGGACGTCTAAGCGGCGTCTCCGCTTTGTGGCTGGCGGTGAATCCTGTTGGAATACAACAAAGCCAGGTACAAAGCATGCACAGCCATGCACAGTCAGAACGTGACAGAAAAGGCCCCCAACCTGCGGCCGGTTTGGCTCAGGGGTTCTGAAGCCAGTCTCTTGCGGCAACGAGTCGCCCTGTGCGGTGAGAAACACGACTCCACCACAGTTAAAGATTGAAGGCTTCACGCCTGGCCCTTTGTCGGCGAAGTGAGGTCGACCTGACAGGACTAACACGACACCGCGGTTGGCAACAAATGGTTTCTGTTCTGCCTGCTGGTTCTTGGGCGGCGAATCCGTCAGGTCAACCTGACGGCATTGTGCGGCACTTGAAGGATTTTGCAAGCCGGAGTCTGGCCTTGTTGGTTGGCGGAGACACCGTGAGGTCAACCTGACGGCATTGCGCGGCACTTGAAGGATTTTGCAAGCCGGAGTCTGGCCTTGTTTGCTGGCGGAGACACCGTGAGGTCAAGCTGGCAGCCTGCCACCGTTTCGCGCGCATCAGCCGCCATGCCAAACCTGTTAGAGGCAGCACGAATGCGGAGTCGTACCGAGCAGCAGACAAGAAATGGTTGGGGAAGAGCACTGTTTTTTTCTGAAGCGAGACAGGCGGGGAATGGTTGTCGACCCCTGCTGCTGCCAGAAGGCAAGCGGTAAACAGACTAGACTGATGCGAGGGAAGCTAGTCTATTCGACCCCTGCTGCTGCCAGAAGGCAGGCGGTAGACAGACTAGACTGATGCGAGGGAAGCTAGTCTATTTACCTGAGATTAGTGGCGCGACCTTGCCAGTAGTCTATCTGCCTCTGATGTGGGGAGCTCCATCCCGCGAACACTAATCAAAACCCAATCCCTGGACCAGAGCGAAAGAAGACGACCCCCGCGCCCATATGACTCGAACTGCCACGCCTCCTGCTGCCGCAACCCGGTGCGCCCCGGGCTAGCCGATACAGCGACGAAGCAGTGACGACACAGTGAGCCGCAGCAACTCACAAATGCAGCACCACCAACTGCTACCCGCATAACCTTGGCGCTATTACTGCCTGCCCTACGCTATTACTGACCCATAGCGCTATTACGGAACATGCTGAGCTGGATGCAGCTGGCGTCGGTTGCAGTGGTAGTTGCCGTGGTGACAGTAGTAGTCGTAGCGTAGATGTTGTATGTTGTAGTCGTTGTGTTGTCTTCGTCGTCGTCACAGGTGCTGTTGTCGATATTGATGTTGTTGTTGATATGTCTTTGCTTTCGGCTTATCACGATAATGTTGTCCGCGATCTTGTATCATCGGCTCAAGCTTGGACAAGTAGCGGGCCAGAACTGGACGCCGCCTTTGTAGTTGCCTGTCACAGCAAGGAGATTTTAATGCAGAACAACAGCCCGGCAGGCAAAGTGCCTTGTGCAGCGCCAGTGCGCAAGCATGCAACACCGCTGCTGTCCCGAAGGCTGCGCTCCGCACTACCCTAAGCGGCTATTCAAGCCACAGATGTTGCGTTCTCCTGGTCATTCAGAAGAGCTACTCTACAGGAGCGCCACCTCCACTTGTTGTGCTATCCCAGCGACAAGAGTAACAAGAAAGCCGCCTGCACGAGCTGCTTGCGGCAGTGGGAACCCTACTTCCCCGGAAGCGGCCTGCATGGATCTTGTCCAGTCCACAGAGTCGGCCCCTGAAGTTTACCTTGATGTCACTGGCGCGTCTAGAAGGAGCGCGAGCACGTGCTTCAAAAGCGGCTGGGCTTGATCACCTCCTTTTCACGTCTCTGGCTGCTTTTAGCAATCTTTCTTATCGATAAATCAAGAACCTAATACTCTTCAAAAATTCTTGACACCTCGATCATGCTCGATGTTTCGTCTCTACCAAGCCTGCACATGCACAACCCACTCTCACATGCAGGAAAGTGTCGGACATGACGCCATAGGCGAACTTTCCACTTGACAAGAAGGACGACGTCAAAACCTGAGGACCACCAGACTTTTGGAAAGCTGCCCAGTGCACAGGTCACTTTCCATCATGTCCGCGTTGCCCCCCTCACACGATCCGAGGTACGTCGTTCGTCGATACGAAGCTTTCCGCGGAGCTTTGGCGGCGCTTCTCCTCGACGGCTTTGCATGAGCCGTAAACCCTGAACCCTGGCCGCAATCACAAGCCCTGCTCTTTAGATTCAACCGGAGAGGGACAGCTGCTACTTTAAACAGGTCACCGGCTAAGATCTTTCCATGGCAATGCCTCAATGACATTCCTTGAGATTGCTTCACAGCAAGGTAGTCCTCCTCTACCCAGGCTGTGTCCACCTCCCACGCACTCCAGCGATGCCTGGTTCGGGAAACCCTCGAAAAAAACGGCACGGCAACGGATCGGATCGGGCTGGCACCGGGCTTTGCGTGCAAGCGTGGTTCGGCCTTGATGAGAGGCCTTAATGATAAGAAGAGGGTTTCGGGGAATCTGATAATATCATTATAGTAAGGATCCCCCAAAACCCTGTCATAATTACTAAACTCCTTGCACAGGTCGTCGGTCGTCGAACAAATGTGCCACGTCGTCATCACGAAGTAATTAGTTCGGAACTGTGCTCGGCTTGCCAGGACCTCTTTCACGAAAAGCTTCTTTCAACGAGGCCGCACCGGAGAGCTGTTGATCAGTATTCCACCGTCAGCAGCAGTTCGGGTACTCTCTATCTCATAGGAAGCTGAAATTGTGGACAACAATCGTCCAGAGATGGATACTGCACTCTCTGCAATGCAACATTACCTTAGTCTGCCACTGCGGCTGCTGCTGCTACGACGATGACAGGGACTGCGCGACCGCGACTGCTATGATTGCTCCGACAACGACTATGACTACTACTGCTACTACTACTGCTACTACCTCTACTGCTACGGCCACGCCTACGGCTACTGCTACTGCAACTGCTACTTCAGCTGCTACTGCTACTGCTACTGCTATTCCTACACCTGCTGCCACTCGTATTCGTACTCCTAAGTACTCCTACTCCTCCTCCTTCTCCTCCTCCACCTCCTGCTCCTACTGCTACTCCAACTATTGCTACTACCACTGCTACCGCTGCTACCGCTGCTACTACTGCTACTACTGCCGCTACTACTACTACTACTACTACCACCACCACTACCACTACCACTACCACGACCACGACCACGACCACGACCACGACCACGACCACGACCACTACCACTACCACTACTGCTGCTCCTGCTACTGCTACTGCTACTGCTACTGCTACTGCTACTGCTACTGCTACTACTACTACTACTACTACTACTACTGCCCCTGCCCCTGCCACTGCCACTGCCACTGCTACTGCTACTGCTACTGCTACCACGAGAAAGAATAACTAAGGCATTCATCGTAGTCATAGTCATATTAAGAACGACATGACTACCTTCAGACATGCGGAGAGTAAAAGTCGCATCGACACAATTTGTGGCACCCTGCTTATGTTTCCTGAACACATCGGCGACAGGCTCTGTCATGTTGTCAAACCTACAGCATCAGGAAACCCCACACGAGATCCAAACGCTTCTTGTTTCCAAACCATTGCAACTTATCGCCTTCTGCTGTCACTGTCAATCTCGTCTCACTCTGACAACAGTCACCTGCTTCGCAGATTGCGATCCAACATGGAGCCCCACCGCGCGCGCCGCGAGTTGAGCCATGCAACCTGCACCACCAATCGATCAAGCGCAGACTTCATTTGCTCACCCCGGCCTTTTCCATCCCGAGGGTCTGGGCCATAGCGGCTGGAAATTCGAGCTTTCCTGTACGAAACTGTGGCAAGCTCAAGGCTGAGAACACCTGACTTTTCAATGCCCCTTTGTGCTGCTCAGACGCGCATCGGGTTCAGCCTCACCCGCGCTGGTCCTGCGACTAGATGTTGCAGACCAACCGTTTTCCCGCAAGCTGATGTTATCCAAAAGCGCATGGTCTTTACTGCAGAAGTGGCGAGCTTGGCAAGAAGTTCCCATGTGCGGCGTATTGTTGTTGCTTCCCCAGCTGCGTGCAGCATCCGGCGTCCTTCACCGGCTGGGTATACCGTCCCGCCTGATGCCCAGGTCAAAGTACGAGCAAACAGACGTTGTTCAAGATCCAGTTCCTTCTGCGGGAGATAGCTACCGAATAGCATCCGACTTTAAACCCAGGATAACCCAGGGCAGGACCATCCTACCTCAACCCATCATCACACCTTGTGCAACCTGTGCATCAACTTCAAAAAACATGCCCTAGTCACAACGTGCTCTGGGAGTCATTTGCGGAGCTCTTTCCGTTACTGATCATCCAGAAACCGCATTTCAGCGCTGAAAGATCACTGACGCATGGGGAGCCTCGCCTATCTCCTTTTCGCGCTGGTCCAGAGCGCCGTAGATCCGATAGTAAGTAAAGCCGTCGCCCAGAACATGGCTGAGGGAAATTACCACTGCGAATCTACCTGCAGCACTGCAGCACAGAGGCTCTGGTGCAGATCTCATGAAGAAGAACACTTTGTGCACTGCCTCTGAGTGTGGACTAGACTGAACAGCATCGATTGGACAACCGGGGCTAAGCTTGATGTACATAAGGCGGCCGCGCAATCCGCAACACGGCATAGCGGCATAGCTCAATAGATGCTTCAAAACCACTGCTTCCACAAACCAGCCAAGCTGCCTGGGGCGATAGTCACGACCTTACTGATCGGTACTTGGAAGAAGGCACAGAGTGGCATGCCTGAGGCTAGAAGCTTGCCTCCTTCGCTGGAAGCAACGATGAAGTGCAAAGGCACACTGATCCCCGAGTACAAAATCTCTCTACCAGGAAGTTCTGCGCCTAACAGATCCGTGGAAACCCCGTGAGTAAATTTCGATATATACAGGTGAGGAAATCTGCAAGCACGAAACACGTATTCCCGCGGACCCTGCCAAAATTCATCAATTTTCTCTGAGTCACCGACACACGAAACAGAGGGGTTGAATTGTCAATGCAGTCCACACCCGGCGGCACCGTGACCTCAAACTCACGGTGCTTCCATGAAGACAGGCTGAGCAGTATTCAAGGATTCTAGTCTCTTATGAGAACAACACGTGGCAAGCAAACACGACGAGCAGCATCTTCCAGCAGTTGGCGCATTCTCTGCAAGGGCGTCCGCTTGGTCAGCAGTCGCCTGGAGGTCCTTGGCTACGGAGGTTAAAGGATCTAGGAACTTCATCGATGCATCGCAACCGTGCGGCAACCTACTATACAAATCTGCCTCTGTTTAATACTCACCAATAGAAGCGGAGCAGCAGAATCACCGCAAAGTCATGTCTGGTGACCCTCAAACCGCAAGAAATTGCAGGATGGCCACTCCGTGAAGTGCGATGTAGCATGCGGTGCATCCGCCGGCACCCAAAGCACAGTGCTGCCAGAGGCCCTTTGGCAAGGCACGTTCCGGGCACACACAGAAACCGAATCCACCAACGTATGAACAGGGCTTTCGAGGCTGGCTCTCCCCAAACTCTTTGCACAACATCTCGCCTGTCTCGCCGCAG